CTGAAGTTGCCAGGACAGAGAGCATCAAAAATTGACAGAAGTGAATCAAAAAAGCCTCACAGGTGTCAGGTAAAACAGCAATCTTGTTTTGATGTTGTGACAACGAGTTTGAACTCGGCCAATTAACTTAAAACCAAATGCAGTGATTTAAAGCAAATTGAACTTAAAAACTGATGGTGTTGACAACCTGAAATCAATCACGTTATAAGAATATGATTATGTCATTACAGGTATGTAAGACAAGGGCTTTTGGAAAATCGGAGAGAGCCAACTGCCATCTGAAAGAGAAACAACTGCCACCTGCCACAGTTAGCACCATTCAGCTCTCAGAGAAAGCCCATCGAATTCATTAAAAATACCACGGTATTTTAGCTCAAAGTCCTCTTTGGAGAAATTATACAGATAAAATATCCCTGACAGAGGAATTAGCGGACGAAAGGTGTTTGTGAAGAGACCGGAGATTACAGAATATTCCAGAAGACATTCTGTGCGAACTTGGAGAGATTAAGCTATAATTTATTGCTTCTTATTAATTGGGTTTCTATTAGTGTGACTTGTCTTTATTTAAACAGCATTCCAGTAGAATTTAGAGGAGGTAGGAAGTACTTAGTAGTATAAGTGGGAATTGTCGGTTTGTCAGTAAGTTTGTTAATTTGTTGGGTTAAATAAATAAGTTGTTTCTTGTTACTTATAAAGTGGAGATCATGGATTTTCCTTCTTTTAACCACTCTTTAAATAGATTATGAGGGGAACGACGAGCTTCTCTGGCTGTTTCGGGGGTAATTATTAATGGGGGACCCCTACTCCTGTCATAACAGACTGGGGCTTGTGTTTTAGTTTAATTATCAGAGGGGTTTGGCCTTTCCCCATCGTAACAAGTTTAAACATGGATAAGGAAACCTCCTCCAGCTCTGGATGATGTTTAGCTTGTTCTGTGGCTCTGGGTCACCCTCCATCACCTCCCCCTCCTCCCTGCACCCATTCTAACAAGAACATAGATTCCTGTATTACAGTGTTGCTTCTATGAACTGAAGCATTGTATCATTTCTCTAGAGCTGCTTTACAAAGGAACGCTGTCGAAGAAGGTGTACAATGCACTAATCTTCACCAAAGCAGTGGGGGTAAGGGTGATACTCTGTGTCACCAGGAATGATGCCAATAGGAGGGCCCTTCTCACCAGCTGTCTATTTAGATTGTGGTGCTCATTCAAAAATGCTGGTGGTGAGGCATTCTGCCAAAGGCTGGCAGAAACAGCCCTGTCGACCCTGCACAGCCTTCAGGGAGTCTTTGAAAGTGATAAAATTCTAACTGGAACAGTAAGGTCAGATGCAGGAAGGATGTTTTTAATGGTGTGGTGGTCTAGAATCAGGGGTCATAGTTTAAGGATGAGGCTATAAATTTCAGTACAGGGATGAGGGAGATATTTCTTTGCCAAGGCAGTATTGAGTTGATGGAATTCACTGCCACAGAAAGTGGTCAAGGTCAAAATATGAAGTGTTTTCTAGAAGCCAGCACATACAGGTCTTATGGCTAAAGGGATCAAGGGATACGAATCTCTCAGTCTTTATATCACAAGCAGAGCAACGACAAGATCAAAATCACACGCTACACTTAACCCACTTCCAATTATTTCCAATGCATACTCTCTCGCTGCAGAATATGTATCCAGAGTTCCCTCTCTAAACTTAAGGAGACATTTTTGTGTAAACAAACTGGAGATATTTGATATACAGAGGATTCAAGTTAATCTTCATCTTCCAGTGCTGTACATGTCCCACCTGGATGGTTTATCTGACCGTATGACAATATGATATATAAGCAGAATTGGGCTATTTGACCCATTGGATCAGCTCTGTCATTTGATCATGGCTGATATGTTCCTCAACCCGACACTCCTGGCTTGTCCCCATAACCTTTGATCTCCTTACTAATCATGAACCTTCTCCCATAACCCTTGATCTCCTTACTAATCATGAATCTGTCTCTCTCTGTCTGAAATACACTCAATGACTTGTGCTCCACAATCCTCTGCAGGAAGGAGTTCCACAGATTCACCATCGTCTGGCTGAAGAAATTCTTTCTCATCCCAGTTCTGAATGGCCGTCTGTTCACTCAAAGACTGTGTCTTTGAATCCTAATCTCTCCTACAAGTACAAACATCTTCTGCATGTCCACTGTATCCAAGCCCCTCATTATTCAATCTGAAGCCTCCTCATCCTTCCAAACTCCATCGAGTACAGAACTAGAGTCTTCAACTGCTCCACATATGACAAGTCCTTCATTCCTGCGATCACTTCTGTAATCCTCCTCTGATTCCCCTCCAATGCCAGGATATCCTTCCATAGACACAAGTCCCAAAACTGCACCAAATATTCCAAATGTCAGTTTATAGAATGGTCCTACCATTTGTCAAGGGAGTTGGGATTATAGAGTTGAATAATTGGGTTGGATTTGCAGATAATTACAGCACCAATCAGAGTAGCCATGATCTTGTCAAATAGCAGAACAGGCGCAAGTTGCTGAACAACCTTTTCCTGTTCATGTTGTGTTGCCTATTTGTCCTTGTGTCTTGTGCTGGAATTCCCGTCAGAAATAATATACTGTATTAGTTCTCTCCGTGTCCTGCCCAACATCCATATAACAACTAACAGCATCAAAACCAATAATTTCAGACCACCAAGATGCTGTTTCCTTGACCTTGCTGTTCACACATTGGTTCCCTCATTTCCAACTATAACAACAAGGAATATTCCTCAAAAATACTTCACTGGCTCAGAAGATCTTTGGCCACACTGTGGGCATGAAGGCAGATTTCTTGTCAACCACCCCCTCTCCCAGGACCACTCTGAACCTTCCCAATCTCAAAACCCATGGAAAACTGATCATGAATATTGTCTTGAATCCCAATCCTCAGACTGGATTGAGCCACTGACAAAAATCATAGAGCTCCGAGTTAGTTGACTGCTCAATCAAAGGGATCATTCAAAATATATCCCTCACTACCTCCAAACTCTGTTATCACTATCATTATAGAAGCTTATAAACGTTCCTAACTTGCAGAAGATTTGCAGATCATGGTTAATCTACAAATGTTTATCTGGTTCCTGTTTTCTTCTTTCACCATTTTGGGAAGATCATCACACAACCTCCATTATCAGTTTCCAAATCCCCTTTTCTTGATGAAAATGGTTCATTCCCCCAGCAGATAATGTGCTGGTGGGACAGGCTCTGTGCTGTCTAAATGTCTTCCTGATGATATGATAAAATGTCACCCAAATCGCAATTGAGATAAAGCCAGCTTAGCTTCTTCTAGAAATTGGGTTTCCATGCTCTACTCTTCCAGTTCGACAGATTTCTTCATAGTCCTGATTCACAGGGCTGACGGCTTCAGGCACTTACCCAGATGTACACACAGAAAGTAAAATATAACGAGGAAGCGCCTCCCAGGATTAACAAGTAACATGATTAAACTGAGGATGAGGAGCCCTTTTATTTCCTGCACTACTGGATCTATTGTCAGGAATGTTAATGCAAGTGATAACACAGTGTGGAGCTGAATGAACACAACAAGTCAGGCAGCATCAGAGGAGCAGGAAAGCTGACGTTTCAGATCGGGACCCTTCTTCAGAAATGGGGGAGGGGGAAGGCAGCTCTGAAATAAATTGAGATTGCGGGGATTTGGGTTGGGGAAGGCAGGTGGGATGGTGATAGCAGGTAGGTAGGGTGGGGCTTGGTCAGTGAGGTGGGAGGAGCGGATAGGTGGGGGAGAAGACGGATAGGTCAAGGAGGCAGGGGTGAGAGGAGGATTGGCCCTGGGATGAGGCAGGGTGTGGGGAGATCCTGAAGCTCGTAAAGGTGGGATGACGATAGGTGAGTGCAGGTCGGTAGTGGTGGGGACTGGCCCCTGGCCGACCATTGTCTCTGCCTGCTCCTGCCCCACCGAACATATCTCCACTTATCTCAACTCTATTTTCTCCCCCCGGTCCAGGAACTCCCCACCTACGTCCGAGACATGCCCTCCACCACCTCCAAGACTTCCAATTCCCTGGCCGCCAACACCTCGTCTTCACTATGGACGTCCAATCCTTGTATACTTGTATCCCCCACACAGATCACCGAAAAGCCCTCCGCTTCTTCCTCTCCCACATGCCAATGAGACCCCTCCAACGACACCCTCATCCGCTTAACTGAACTTGTCCTTACCCTGTAACAACTTCTCCTTCAACTTCTCCCACTTCCTACAGACAAAGGGGGTGGCCATGAGAACCCGCATGGGCCCAAGCTATGCCTGCCTCTTTGTAGGGTACGTGGAACAATCCCTCTTCCGTAGCTACACTGGCACTAGCCCCCACCTCTTCCTCTGCTACATCAATTACTGCATCGGTGCCGCCTCATGCTCCCACGAGGAGCTTGAACAGTTCATCAACTTTACTAACACCTTCCACCCGAATCTCAAGTTCACCTGGACCATCTCTGATACCTCTCTCTCCTTGCTGGACCTCTCTGTCTCCATCTCCAGTGACCACCTGGAAAATGATATCTATTTCAAGCCCACCAACTCCCACAGCACCACCTCACTAATCAATCCCCACCACTACCGACCTGCACTCACCTATTGCCATCCCATCGTTACTAGCTTCAAGATCTCCCCACCCCCTGCCTCATCCCAAGGCCAATCCTACCTCTCATCCCCGCCTCCTTGACCTGTCTGTCTTCTGTCTCACCTATTTGCTCCTCCCACACCACTGACCAATCCCCACCACTACCTACCTACTATCACCATCCCACCTACCTTCCCCAGCAAAAGCCCCTGCCTCTCTATTTATTTCAGAGCCCCATTCCCTTCCTCCATTTCTGAAGAAGGGTCTCGCCCTGAAACATCAGCTTTGCTGCTCCTCTGATGCTGCCTGACCTGCTGTGTTCCTCCAGTTCCACCATGTGTTGTCTGAGACTCCACCATCGGCAGTTCTTACTATCTCTGAGTTAATACATGTGTTTACCTGGGTGAATGCCATGGATCATTTCTCTCCAGACTGTGTACTGTAAAGGGCCGTTGAACTTTTCAATAGACAGAGAGGCATCAGAAGCTGAGAGCCTGTTCTCTTCATCACTAATCCTGTAAATGTTAAACAGCTGATATTACAAATCTGCCTTTCTTAGATTTATGAGCTGATGCAAATGGTCAATGTTTCAGAGTTACTGAAGTATGAATAAATGAGGCAGGAAGTGAAATATCAATCTTGTTTTTATAACAAAGCCAAATATAAATTGATAATGCAAGAGAAATGACTAGAAACAGCCAGAAAAAGAAATAGGCATTATAATCTGACAACAGGTAACACAGCATTCACCATGGAAGATGATAAAAATCCATACCCCAACCCCCAAACCACACCATGTCCCACCTGTGCACAGAGCTTGTGGATCGAGACAAAATAACTGAAAACATCTAAAAGCATCATGTCTAACTGGGTAACATGTGGGCACCACAACCTACCGAGAATCGTGTTCCTTTATCTCCAGCCCCTTGACTATCTTTGATTTTAGTCTCTCCCCCTTTTGGAGGTTGGTCCTTCAGTTGCAGGGACCCTCAGCTATGGAATTCCCTCCCTGAACCTTTCCATCTCTCTATTTCACTTTCCTCCTCTCGGATGCACTAAAACCTGCACCAATCACCTTATTGATAGCTTGGTGTCACTTATTATTATTTTCTAAAGAGCAAATGAAAAGCTTTGGGACATTATATTACATTAAGGAAAACAATTCAAAACAGAAATGTTTTGTCATGAGATGGTCACAGACCGAAGTTGTATTATATAAAAAAAAAACCCAGATAAAGATATAACAAGGTGGAGAGCTGGATGAACACAGCAGGCCAAGCAGCATCAGAGGAGCAGGAAAGCTGACGTTTTGGGTCTAGACCCTTCTTTCATCTCCATTCCCAGATAAAGTATGTGTTTCTCGGCCAGGTCAGGAGCCATGCAGGGACAGGGATGGCCATTCCCTGGAAATATGGGCCTTGCATCGCTCTCAGGGTCAGGGGAAGTTTTTAGCCACACAAACAGCCCAAATCAGGTCAGTATCACTTCCAGCCTGAGGTCCAGGTTGTGTAACTAGAATAGTTTTATAAAAGCTTTATTAAAATTTCATTGTGTTTAAATCCTGCACTCAGATTCTGATTACAAAAACACTGATGTACCAATGGAGTTATGTCGCCCGATAATACATTTTTAAATTTGAAGTAAACTTCTTTTCATAAGAATACTCGCGTGTGAACATAAAAGAACGAACTGTGGCCCGATAAATGGCCCTTTAAGGCGGCGACAATAACCAGGAAATAAACCCATAATAACCCGTAACCTGAGCAAACTGTGCAGAGTTTCAGTAAAGAGCATGTCCTACCTTCTCTTCCGACAAGCTGCCTCCTAAAAGAAATGAATCACAAATAGTGAGGATGACCGGAACAGATTTCAGGGGAGACAGACAGGCTGCTGAAATGAGCAGACACAACACGAAAGTGGAAAGTGATACAATTTGGAAGGAAGATTGAGGAGGGGGTAAAATAAACTGGAACGGACTATCAATCCCACTCACAAACACACTGTCCAAGACAAGCCCACACACTCTCCACCTGGAACTGTAACTGGATTACAATGGGAGTTCCAGGAGAAAATTAAACTTGGAGGACACTGAATTAATAACAAAACCGATATCAACATCACATCCCATTCCCGCGAGGCTCTCGGTATTCCCGAGCTTCTGAAGATAGAGTGGGAGTGGTTCATTCAGTGGCAATA